ATCAGCGGCAGCATTAGATTCTCATAGGAGCTCCAACCCTACTGTAAACTGCACATGCAAGGGATCCAGGTTGTGCGCCACTTATAAGAATCTAATGCCTAATGATCTGAGGTGGAGCTGAGGCGGTGATGCTAGTGCCAGGGAGTGGCTGCAAACACAGATTTTCATTAGCCGAGAGGTTTGACTGCACAATAAGTATAATGCATTTGAATCATTCTGAAACCATCCCCAGCCCTGGTCCGTGGAAAAACTGTCTTCCCTGAAACCAGTCCCTGGTGCCAAAAATGTCGGGGGCCACCGTTTTAATAAACGTCTGTTGAGAACCTGTGCTTGACAGGCACTGCTCTCAGGGCCATAAATAAAGTAGGCAAAATGCTTGCTCTCCTGGAGTTCACAGTCTAGTGCAAGAACACAGACAATTAGCAGATACATGTATAGTTTGTCAGATCCTCAAAAATGCATAAAGATTAAAGCAAGGTGGGGAGAATTAGCTGGACAGGAAGGTATGCTGTTTAGGATAGAGCTGCTTCCCTAATAAGGCAGGGAGAAGAGACGAGGGGAGCGAAGGGGTAAGCCACAAAGATGTTGGTCAGAAGAGCAGTTCTAGAGGGAAGAGCAAGTGCCACGCCCTTCTGCAGGTGCTGCTCCCTGCGTTCTAGGAAAAGCAGGGACGCCAGCTGCCCACAGTGGGCTGAGCCAGGGGAGTGGGGGTGAGAAACATGGGGAACTGGATCCTGAGAAGCTCCCAAGGCTACAGTCTGGACTCTACACTGAGGATGCTGGAAAGCTGTTGGAAAGTTCTGAGTGGAAGAGTGACATGGTCTGAGTCAGGGGTCCTCAAACTACGGCCCGTGGGCCACATGCGGCCCTCCAAGGACATTTATCTGGCCCACCAGGTGTTTTTGGCGCCGCTCCCTGTCCTACTTAGCAGCTGACTCGTCCCGGGCCCACAGTGCGCATGTGTGGAATGTGCGCCGCACTCTCCAACGGTCTGAGGGACAGTGAACTGGCCCCGTTTAAAAAGTTTGAGGACCCCTGGTGAGTTATGTCTTCTTTTTTTTTTTTTTTCAAGGATGATTTTGGCTTCTGTCTGGAAACAAGCCATAAAAAGGCCAGGCCAGAAGTGAGGAGAATATTCAGGAGGCTACTCTAGTCATCCAGGTGAGAGGCGATGGAGAGAGTGGCGGAGATGTAAGATGTGACCAGATTCTGGACATATGCCAAACAAGTGCTGCAGGAATTGCTGATAACTGTATCAGGTAGCTGTAAGAAGGTCTGAGAGAAAGGGGAGAAATCCAGGATGGGCAAAGCTGTTAGAAAAGTTGGAGAAGGAAGGGAAGGAAGCAGATAAATTAAAAATAATTGTACCGATATTGAGTGATTACTACATTTCAAGCGTCACGCTAAGTTCCTTATCCATATTGCATCATTTAATCCTTCTGACAACCTCAGTATACAATGAAGGAACCGAGGCGAGCAACTGGCCTGTGATGGAACAAGTGGCCGGCCAGGCGCCGGGCCCCATGCCGTCTGGCTGCAGAGCACACCCCGTTAATCATCCACACAATCCAACCTCTATCTTCTCTGAGAAGTGAAAGGTTACCCAGAGTTGGGGAAAGGGAGCTAGAGTGAGATTGGGAGCTCAGAAAGCATGTTGGCTGATTAATTGAATAAAATGTACATCAGAGATTTAAACACTAATAAGGCAACTATTGACAATGCTTTCTTTAGGGGGGTTGTTGGGACTTGGGGCTCACCCCACTGTGGCCGCTTGCACCACGTCCAGGTAAAGAAAATGACTGAGCTGCAATCTTTCTGGACCTCTCCAAAAGTAATCTCAATCACTGAGCGATCCCTTCAGCTGCCACAACTGGTGTGGAACTGATTCCGGCTCCCAGTCCCATGAGATAAACATCCCCACGATCTTATTTAGCATAAACACTGACCTGAAATCGAGCAGGCTGGCAAGATGGAAGTTGAGTCATGACATATTTATTAAGCCGAGTACTGAGTTTGACACTCAGAGGAACACCAAATTAATTCAAGACACATTTCTTGCCCTTAAGGGGCTTACAGCATTGGCTTGGCTAGAGGACCACCCAACATCCATTAGGATGGAGAAATCAAATTTCCACTTTGGGCTCATTGCACTGCACAGAGTGACAGGCCAGGAGATTAAAAGGGCCTTGGTGCATATGGCATGCACGCCCAGCCTGCAGCCCCTCAGCCTGTGTGCATTAACTCCACAAGCAGCCTGGCTGCAGAGTGAAGGTGGCTGTTTGTGCATAAACATTGTCATTTCACTGGGACTGCTATTTCATCTTTGAACCTTGGCATCAAAGGAACACTGACCTTATTCCTGTAGCTTGCCTTTCTTTGAAGCATATGGCTTTGCATTGCAGATTAAAGTGAAGACATTCATCAAGGAACAGATCTGGCCAACCGCTCCCCAAACTCAACCCGAAACAAAGCCTTGAAAGGCTCCAATCACAGTTGCAGTGGAGTGGGCTGAAGATGAAGGCTTGAAGCCGGGCTCCTCTTTCTCAGATCCTGTAAAGCAGCTTCCACATGACACAGTGCATCCCTTTGAGCTTTGGACAACTTTGCCCCGAGAGTCAGTCTATCTCAGCAGAAAGGGGCGAGCTAATGCAATATTCTCAACCTGTCCTGCTCATTTTATTTAAAGCAGACATTGTCGTAGTAAATGAGGCCAATGTGATCATTCACTGAGTCCCTTTGAATTCTTCAAAAGATGTGGCAGACAGAACCACCTGAAATTTGGCTGATGATTCTGTCAATTTTCTTTTCTACTACTTTTCTTTGTTCATTTCTTTGAAAAGGAACTGTCCTATCTTTCTCTCCGGTTCTCCTATCTTGGCTCTAAGAAAAAAAGACCATATACGTAGTATTCTCTGTTTTTTGTTTGTTTGTCTTAAAATGGCAAGAGGAGTAAATAAGAAGCTTTAGCTGTGAGGTTAAAAAAATAACCAAATAATTCATTAATTATGAGGCTAAGAGAGAAGCAAGGGAAATCTCTCCCACCTTAGGGAGAGAAAAATTGGTGACAGATGATTATTAAAGGACAAATTATCATAGCTTTAAAGATAATCTTTCTGCAGATCTTCAACTGTGATCAGATACACGGTGAGTTCTGTCTGTGATGAAGCAGTAAACCAATCCAGAGGAGGGAAGGAAATGATTGTAAAGTTCTGTACATGTAAGTCAACTGATTTTAATAATGTCTACACTAAACGGTGTAAGAAATTAGTGGAAATCCTTGTTGACACATAGGCTAATTTTCAGAATAATGCACTCCTAATTGCTCATCTTTAAAACAAGACCAAAGGATAATTCTGGTCATTATAAGACAATTTACTTAACTTGCATTTTTTGTTAAATCTCAAATAATTGATTTTCCATTAAGAAATACTTGAAGTACAAGAAGATAATTAATATCACTTTGTAGAGAGCCAGTGATTCCAGATTGTTTTTTTTCGTACAACCTGGAAGCTCACGTAGGAATGACTGCCACTCCATATAGCTTCAGTTTTAAAAGGTTGGAAGATACCTGCTTATCCAGTATCTGTACCCTTCAATTTATCCCCCACTTTTTGGGGTGTGGCCATGTGACTGGTTTTGGTCAGTGGGCTGTAAGCAAGGTGGTAAGCGTCACCTCCAGGCTGACCCTCCCTTTGGTGACTCTTGTACCATGAGGCCTCCCTAGGCTGAGTGGCCATTTCCTCCTCACAAAGACCATTCAACAAGATACAGGGTCATAAACCCAAAAGTCAAGCCTGGAAGAGATCCTAGAGATCAACCAATCACTGCATTTTATATGGAGGGCAAAAAGTGCTCCTGCAGGCCATTTTCCTGCTTTAGCAAAAAAGAAAGTTTTGTCTTTCAAACAAGTGTCCTGTGGAGGACTGGGGCTCAGGAGAAGGGCCTCAGGGGCTGTCAGTAAGGAAGTAAGTGAAGATACTACTTCAACCAGAAAAAAAAAGAGAAAAAAAAAAAGTAAAGGAAAAGATACTACTTCAACCATACCAGCCTTCTTCATCTCTGTTTTATATAAGCGGTTTCTATAAAATTCATATGTAAATAAAGTATTCTGCTGCTTTAATAATATTGAAGACCGACAGATTTCCCCATCCTTCTACTGAAATAGTAGGCTTGGAAGGTCGCACTAAACAATGGAGGGCTTCCCGTCAGCTGGGAGGTGGGGTGGGGCACATGCATTGTATAGCCCCAGTTATGGGGCTGCTATGAATTGCTCCTCCCATAAATGTGCTCACTAGCTTGCCTGGCAGCAAGAACTGCCTTGTTCATCACTGTGTCCCCACCAGTATGTGACACATAGTAGAAGCTCTATAAGCTATCTCTGAGAGACACAAGTAGAGCTCGAAGAGGCTTTAATGAATTTTTCAAAATGAAGATTAAGTTCATTTGGGTCGAGCAAAGTAGCACAATTTAGCTGTGGTGACCCACTGACAAAAGAAATGGCTGGAAAGTTATTATGTGTGTGTTTCTTCAAATGGCCAGTGGTGGCTATCCCCTGCCCAATCCCTGGTTATAAAAAATAAAAGGATTTAAATAATGGAATATTAAATTGACTACTTTGTCTCAGGGAAAACACAAGTGACAGCCCCAAGCAAGCACAGGCAAACACACACACACACACACACACATACACACACACACACACACACTTTTGTTTCATTTTAACATAATTGATCACACAAAATTATCCAAATTTGAACACAATGAGGTTAATTAGAAAGTTTTCTTTGCTTTAATAAAGGATTTGTGTGTGTGTGTGTGTGTGTGTGTGTGTGTGTGTGTGTGTGCGCCCTAATGGCAGTTTTAGTACCATTTATCACATGGCTTGGTTTACAAATGAGACAAAGGTATGTATTTGAGAAAGGGGAAGACTGGGCAGAAGTGAGACAGAGCGGTCCGGGAGAGGAGTGCCTGAGAGCTGTGCTTTTTGCAGACCCTCTTACCTTGTGTGGTTCCATCCAGTCCCATGAGGAATTTCATTGATCTGATGATTTGCTCTGCTATCGGGGGGCTCATGGATGTACCGTAAACAGCACTATGCGAGTGAACCCGTAAATAATCCACAAGGTCCTTAAATAAAGGGAAGAAACCCAAAAAAGAAGCAAATAAATCTCAGCATTGAAGAAAATCATATCTAGTCCCATGCCCATCCATCATAGCAAAAGACCTTGATCTCTCCCTCAAAAACCTAGAAGCTACACAAAAGTAGGATGCTGAAAATTTGGAGTTGGACACTAAGGCAAAACCAGATGTGTGAAGGAAAAGTGACTTCTGAAGCACTTGTTGATTATACTATGTGTGAGCACTGACGCAGTGTTCAGGAGTGCCCAGAGAATGTGGATGTGGTCCTTGCCCTTGAGAATGGTACAGATGCCTGTACCCATGGACAAGCAATGGTAGGAAAAGTAACAAACAGTGCATGCAAACTAGTATAGCAATATGGCTACAAGATGCAGAGGAAAGAGAGAGGGTCCTGCTAGCCAGACAAGATAGGGAAGGTTCCATTGAGGAGATGGGATTGATTAAGCCTTAAAAAATGTAGACAGGCTGGGCGTGGTGGCTCACGCCTATAATCCTAGCATTCTGGGAGGCCGAGGCAGGAGGATTGCTTGAGCTCAGGAGTTCGAGACCAGCCTGAGCTAGAGTGAGACCCCATCTCTACTATAAATGGAAAGAAATTAGCCAAACAACTAAAAATAGAAAAAAAAATTAGCTGGACATGGTGGCACATGCCTGTAGTCCCAGCTATTTGGGAGGCTGAGGCAGGAGGATCGCTTGAGCCTAGGAGTTTGAGGTTGCTGTGAGCTAGGCTGATGCCACGGCACTCTAGCCCAGGTAACATAATGAAACTCTGTCTCAAAAAAAAAAAAAAAAGAAAATGAAGACAAATAAAGAGAAAAGGGTGCAAATATATGAAAGCAGAAGACATGTATAGTAGATTGTTTACAAAAAATGGCTGTAATTCCTTGATTCCCTGTGCCTATGCATCTTTGTAACTCAACTTTGCAGCTCCTTCTATTGGCACAGATTTATCCATCAGATAAATCTGGGCTGGCCTTCGGACTTGCTTTGACTAATAGAATGTGGCAGTGGCAATGGTGCGCTAGTGCTGAACCTGTACCTCAGAAGGCCTTGAGTGCTTTGCTCTCTCAGAGCCCTCTCCAGCTGCCATGGGAACAGGCCTGAGCTAGCCCGCTGGAGGATGAGAGCTAGCCTGAAGAAGCGCCATCCTAGCTGAGGAAGCGCCGTCCTCCCGCCTCGGCCTCCCAGAGTGCTAGGATTACAGGCGTGAGCCACCTTGTCCACCCTGTCTTCATTTTTTAAGGCTTAATCAATCCCATCTCCTCATTGGAACCTTCCCTAACTTCTCTGGCTAGCAGGACCCTCTCTCTTTCCTCTGCATCTTAGCTGGCCATCCCAGCTGACCCAGTAACTGTCACACTAGAGCAAGCCCAGTTGACACCAAAAGAACTTCCCAGCTGAGCTCAGGCCCTATTGCTGGTGTGCAGAATTGTGAATGAAATAAATGGTAGTGTTTTTAGACACTAAATTTTGGGGTGGTTTGTTACACAGCAAAAGGTAACTGATACAGCATGTTCAGAGGTCAGCAAAGGACAGTTTGAGAAGAGGTTAGTGGGAAATTAAACCAGAGTGTAGGTTTGGATCAGATAAGCTCTGCTTATCCCTTGGGTAGTAGAGGACAATTGGAATTTTTTGTGTAACCAGAATGCTGGTCTTGATGGTTGGAACAATTTTTCACCTGCATGCCTGACTCCTGAGGCCAAATGTCAGATTTGAGGTATGCTTGCTGAAAACTCCAAGAAGCTCCAATAACCTAATGCCAAGGTGGGGAGGGCCTCAGAGCTGGCATTTGCATGTGCTTGACCTTGGCTTTCCAGACCACGTATTGGCTCAACTATACTGGCTCATGGCCCGGGACTCTCAGGACGTCCTGCAGAAAAGCTAGTGGTCTCATAATGGCTCTCTGCATTAGCAATGAGGTCTTTAAAGGATCAGCTGCCTTCTCTTTAGAATAACAACACAGTTTAGAATACCACTTAGGTGTCTTCTCCTACCATTCCTTGTGAAGGTGAATTGGGAGGAGCTCTGAGGAATCGAGATTCTCTGTTTGGGCGCAGGTCCACATCCTCCCAACCCTCCCTCGTCAGTCACATCCATTCCCAACTCTGAGCCTGGGACTGTGCCCTGCCCTGCGGGACATGGTTGTTCACAGCATTTTATTTTTATTTTTTGTTTATTTTAGCATATTATGGGGGTACAAGTGTTAAGGTTACATATATTGCCCATGCCCCCCTCCCCCCTCAAGTGAGAGCTTCAAGCGTGTCCATCCCCCAAACGTTGCACATCTTACTTGTTGTCCCCTCCTCCCCCTCCCACCCTCCCAACACCCAATAAATGTTACTCCTATATGTCCACTTAGGTGTTGATCCGTTAATACCAATTTGCTGGTGAGTACATGTGGGTTCACAAGCATTTTAAACAGTTCATCCTCTTCAGCAAAGTGTGTGGGCTGCCTGACTGGTGGTTGGTGAAGGTTAAATTAATGATGTGATGACTCTACTTGGCCCATGGTGGGGTCCAGGGTCTCTGTTCTGTCCTTCCTGCTTCCTTCAATATGTCTTTCATTCTAAATCTCCTCTCCCACTCTTCCTTCTTCTCTGACTTCCTCTCTCCCTCTTCTCCTTCACTTCGAACTGCTAATTCCTTTTGATTCTTTGTTTCTTCCTTTCATATAGTTTCCTTCCTTCCACTCTGGTTCCCTCTCTCCCTCTTCTCATTTCAACGTCTCCATTTAAATCTTTTTCTTCTCTTTCATTTACTAAGCACGGTCCTTCCTTTCCTCCCTCCCTTCCTTCCTTCCTTCCTTCCTTCCTTCCTTCCTTCCTTCCTTCCTTCCTTCCTTCCTTCCTTCCTTCCTTCCTTCTCTCCTTCCTTTCCTCCTTCCTTCCCTCCTTCCTGTTTTCCTCTCTCCTTTCCTCCTTCCATCTTCCCTTCCAGCAAGTATATTCCAGGGACTTCCCCTGGCTATGTCCTAGATGTGTGTGGGAGTCCCTGACATCCATTATCCATTAATGTAATTAAAATTAAGCTTCTGCCTATTCTTTTATTTGGCAAATCTCATAAAAATATCTGGGTGTGTTTTCCCCACATTTTTTGAAGAGTATGGGTGTGATGCTGGCCTGACTTAATGGCTTCAGCCATGTGGCATCCAGGAAGCTCACTTTGGAGGGTCTGGGGCACCTCAAAGAGAGCAGCAGGCATTTTCCAGAGTGGCTACAGCCAGCCTGCCCCTCACAGCTCTATCCAGTACTCCTAGTGGGCAGCAGCAGGGATTTTCTTTCTTTGTTGAGAACAAATACCTCCCCACAGGGTGCTGGGGAGCTAGGTGAGTCACCAGAACTGGATGATGGAGGCTCATGTGAACTTGTGCAGGAAGGGAGTGTTTCAAGGGTGTGATCTGGCCATCAAGGCTTGGTAGATTTGGACAGACACAGAGGAGTGGAAAGGCATGAATATGTGCTAAAATTAGGAAAAACGATTGTATTTTATGGGCAAAGACTGGAGGAGTCAGTTGGGAAGTAGAAGAAGAAGCTAGTGCTTCTGAAACATGGTGATGAGGGCTTGTTCCTTGCGGGGAAGTACAACCCAGGAGTTATAGGCTCTGGAACCCAATTGCTTGGGTTCAAGTCCCGGCTTTGCCACTTACTGCTATGTGACCATGGGAAAGTAATTAAGTCTCTCTGCCCAAGTTTACTTCTCTGAAAAGTGAGATAATAGTAATACCTACCTAGAGTTGTTAGTAGGGCAAAATGAGTTAATACACACGTGTGCTTAGAAAAGTGTCTGGTACATAGTGAACACCTGCTGCTGTTGGTGACAATTGTTAATGAATGGCCAGTTCAAAGAGTCTTAGAACTGGGAGCATGGGATGGGGTAAGGGACAAAATATAAAAACTCCTTGGAGTGTCTTTATTCCAGCTCCTTCGTTCTGCAGACGGTAACGTTCTAAGGTTATATAACTACATATTCATCCACCCAGACATCAAACCAAAGTTTTTCAGCCCAGGTCTTCCTCCATTCTTAAAGGGGGCATGTGGCAATAGGAGTGACAAAAAGGAAAAGAGAGACATTGTAAAGAAGTGAGTACTGAGGCTTGATGACAGATTGAATGACTCTGAAGAGATAATGGGGCTAGAAGCTGACACGATAGCCAATATTCATTGGCTGCTTAAGGCTCCATTTTAAGAACTTTGCATGTATTAACTCATTTAAGCTTCATGATAACTCTATGAAGTAGGTATTATTTATATCCCCATTTTATAGATGGAATAACCAAGTCACAGAGAGGTTTAGAGAATTATTCACCAAAGGTGGTAGAACAAGGATTTGGACCTAAAGAATTTGACCCTAGAGTCCTTACTCTTAGCCCCACACTATATTACTTCTCCAGGTTTCTTTCCAGAAATCCAAGCTTGGCATGCATGGGGTAAGGGCACAGGATAGAACAGAGACCTGTGTTTCAATCCTGTGTTGCCTTCCTTTTTTAAATTTTTTTTTTTATTATTTATTTTATTATTTATTTATTTATTTATTTATTTCGGCATATGATGGGGGTACAGATTTTAAGGTTTCAATAAATGCCCTTTCCCCCTCCCCCCTGTTGCTTTCCTTAATCCACAGGGTTTTCCCCCTTTTTGCAGGGGTTGGGTAGAGAATTACTAATATACTCAGTCTGTAAAGTGGTACTAAACCACATATCGAATTGCATCAGTCTCAAGATATTTCATGTCTATCTCTCTTGTTTCTCCAGAAGGGACTGAAACCTTGAGAGCAGGGATGGAGTTATATACATCTTTAAAAATCCACAGTGGTGGGTGCTTAGCAGGGGCCTGGTGAATACTGACGGTCCAATGGAGAGTAAAGGGGTTTCAGAAACTAAGGAAGGACAGTGAGGGTCCTGGAAAGACATAGGAGGTGCGAGGCTGCATTCTTAGGAAGAGGCGTAGCAATATTCTCTTAGCTTGAGGGGCATCGCTGATAAAGCTCAGACAAGGAGACAAAATAAAGCTCCCTTTGATCCCTCAAAAGGCATTTCCCAATGTTCCCAACCCCTGATTTTTCTTCATGTATTGAGAAATTTTATCAAGTCAAGGTCATGAGCATTCTTAGTTTGCATAAATACCTCATCAGTGCAGCATCACTCTCTTTTAATGCTAAGACTGTCTTGCCCACAATCGTATTTTTTTTGGACTGAGTCCACTTTCTCTCAGAGCCTGAGTTTGCAAATGGGAGTTAATTTTGCTAGTGTGGTTCAAAAAGTGGGGCTCTTTGAGCAACTTCTGGAGAGTGTCAAGGAAAGCCTTAATTCGCAGCTACTGGTTCCCTAGTTTGGTTCCCCGATTGGGCACCATGAGCCATGAATTAACAGTTGGCTTTGGTCTTTTTGCAAGGCGAGTCTGGGTTTTGTCTTCCTTCAGGGTGGGTTAGAGGTCTCCTTGTACCGAGGTTTCCAAGTCCATTTGTAAGTTCAAAACCCTGATTATTTTCTCTACTCATAGGCCTGGAGTTCAAGGGCAAGGGTGGCTTTTTGAGAGGAAATCAGACAAGAGGCTCTTAGAATAAACATCTTAGTGCTCATTCTCTGACCCCTATTTACTTCAAAGAGCTGTTAAATATAGCCAGGGTCTGGCGTCAGGGCCGAGCTGGCTTTTCTGAGGGGTCTGCCTTCGCCTGGCATGTAGCCCGCTGGGGCTAACGCTCACCCCAAACTCAGCTGCCCCGTCCCTCTTCCCCCTTCCAGAATTCCAGCTCTGTAAGCCATCAATCAAGAGGGCTACCTTTGCTTCATTCATCTGCGAGTCTCTGCTCAGCCTCTGGAGGCTGTGGAAACCAGTGGTTAGCATCAGGCATGCAAGAGGACTCAAGATCCATGCCTGGAGAAAAATTAGGGGTCTGCAGGGTGGACCACAGCTTCCCGGCAACTGGATAAATAAAACATTTTAAATATAAAAATAAGAAACCTCGCCCCATCAGCTCAGGCTTTCTTCAAAGAAGCCATTTATGACCTGGAGCTCTGATAGGTGGCAAGAAGTGATTATCTGACATTTCATTGGGAAGGTCTTGAACAGCAACAACAAAAAGTCTCTGAGTCGGGCTGTTCCCAGTGCATCTCTAACAGCTCCAAACTCAAAGTAAGCAAAATAGCCAAATCTTGCTGGCTCTTGAGAGATCATTTTAGCAGTTTCCATGAGGTGGGAAGAGAAGGCCACAGCCCAGCAGTAAGCTCCAGTTAGCAGAAATGAATTTGTAGGTCGTTTGGTGAGGGAAAAGATAAGGCTGAAATAGAACCTCTATTCTCCATGGTAGTACCTTCACACCAAACCCATTTTTTCTTCTTGTTTGTTTCCAGATATTTTTCTCCTCTATGAATCATCTGGTTGCTAATGTATAAAGCTCTGACCTTGGCCCACTCCACAAAAATTTCTAGAACCTCCTTGATACTATTATTGGGATTATTGTCCCTCTACACCAATATTAACATCATCATTTAAAAAGAGAGTTAAGAGCCAGATTTTTTTAAATCTTTTGCTATATTTTTGGACCCAAGTGATTATTTTCAAATCTCAAGATTTATTAAGAACCCCATGGGCATAGTGAAATTGAAATTAGAGTTTCAGAAAAATGTCAAGTCTGAGTGTGTGCACTTTAACATTTTTTATGGTTAATTTTGTTGCTTTTGTATCCATTGGTTTAGAATCCTGAATATTTTGCAGTACCCCCCCCATTGAGATATATGTACTGCAAAATATCTAGGATATATAGATATATCCAGGATACATAGATATAGATATATACATATACACATACATGTATATATATAATGAAACTCTGAAAATTGTACCCTAATTATTTAAACAGATAAGTAGAAAGATTTTTTAAAACAAAAATCTTTAGTGTTTGCCCAATCCTATGCCTTTCAGTTAAAAAGCATAGCTTCAACAGACTCAGTGAAAATTCTTCACAAAATCATCCAAAGTTCAGGGGAATAAAATATATGATTTAAATGGAAGCTACACATAATTTAAAATTAACATAATTTTTAAAATTAAAGCTACAGAGGAGCAGTCCCATTAAATCATGGGCTCATTAGGCTGGAGGGGAAACAATTTATCTGGGTTTACCATGGTCTCCATCAAGCCATTCCAGATAGGAGTGCATCTGGATGATTTTTAAATCATTAGGGAATGACATATACATGCACTTTCTCAAGTGCCCTCTTATCTCCTGTTCACTCTCCAGGTCTTGGAAACTGCCCTATGTTTTCAAGGTTTTGCATCTTGCTGTTTTAGGGCAGCGTATCTCAGTGGCATACGCTGTGGCATCCCATATAATGGTATATAGCATAGGCGTATCTCAGTATAGGCTAATGGTATATAGCATAGGCAGGCGTACCTCAGTACAGGCTGATGGCATATAGCATAGGTATATCTCGCAGGGGTCCTCAAACTTTTTAAACAGGGGGCCAGTTCACTGTCCCTCAGACCACTGGAGGGCTGTTGGAGAGTGCGGCACGCATTCCACACATGTGCACTGTGGGCCCGGGATGAGTTGGCTGCTAAGCAGGACAGGCAGCCACAGTGGCAAAAATACCCCGAGGGGCGGGCCAGATGAATGTCCTCGGTGGGCCGCATGTGGCCCTCGGGCAGTAGTTTGAGGACCCCTGGATAGGTTAAGGGGCGTCTGCCAAACACTATAAATACTATACTAGCTAATTCTTGCTGCCATCTAGTGATAGACTCAAACACTGCACTACAGCGTGGAGAGGGAGGGGAGAGGGGACCGATGCAGCCCTTTGAATCCAAATATGCACACAATCAGCATTTTAAAGGGCAAGAAAATGAACAGATGTACATACTTTTTCTGCATCCCGATTAATGTAAATAGTATTAATTTTCAAAATTGCTCAGTATCCAGCCCAGATGCATAGAAGTTATGTAGCAGACAGGAGCACCTACACTTTCAAAATACTCCAACTGACTTCAGGACAGGGAGTATGAGAGGGAACCACAGTGAGCTGGTCCTTATTTCAGCTGGTCACGAGCCTTTGTTTAAAGTGGGTATCAAATGAAAGACCTCTAAGGAGAAAAATGTGACATCCACCAAATTTGACAACATTTCAAGGACCTGCTTGCTTCAGTTTATTCAGGTGCCTTCAGTTCAGGAAACAGAGTTACGCTTGGTTAGGAATTTTGTAGCTCAGAACTGCTGCTAAAGTAATCACAAAACCATAAGGTCACAAAGCAATGTAGCCCGGGATAAAGGAGCTCCTAAATTTGAGACCCTCTGATCCCTACTGCCTCGGCAGTCTAGGAAGGGAACATTTAACCTTTCACCAGATTTAGCTGAATTTTGTAAGATCTCAGGCATTCCCTATGTTTTTAGCATTGCCCAGCTAATTCCCACAGGCCAGTGGAAGGAGGATGAAAAACAATGCTCTGAGCCCGGAAGAAAAGTGCTTATTGAAGGGTAAAGACCACTTAAAACTCTGAACATTTTAAGCATCTGTATGTCTCACGGCAGGGCGAGTGGCCGAAATTAAATCTGTTGTTTTTAAATCACAGGCTTTCAATGACGGCACTGTTTGCTGCTGCACTCCCTGGTTTGTCTAACTGGTTTTCCAGAAGTCTCTTGTTCCTGTTCACCACAGTGGATAAGGAATCGGGGATTTTTGTGGATGCCACCTGCATGCCATCCTGTGGGGCTTGCTGCGCCATCCGCAGCAGAGCCAAAATCACCGTCACACAGGCTCTCCGGGACAGCTGTGGGTTTGTTGGAGACAGCTGTCAGGATTTAATAAGTCTGTCCTCTAATTGAGCAGGCAACTGGCTCCTTTATACCTAAAGCCCAAGTTGAAATCTTTGATTTTCTTTTTTCTCCTTCCTTTCTTTTTTGTAAATTTCTCTCAAACATTTGTTGTTTTATATTCACAAACCCCTTGGAGATACCGAGGGCTAATGCTCACTTAACTGTCTAATCCCATCCAATCAGAATTGTTAAGGTACATAGAGAAGATATTAGAGGATGGCAAGATTTGACCTATGGTCTTTCCAACATTGTGGGAAAAAGTTATTTTTGCAGAGAAAATATGTTAAAAGTACATTCATCATCCTATCACCGTTTTGATTGAAACTCTTGAAATGAACAACTTGAAACATAGGGTCAACCTCCTTAATATCTGACCTTTGCCCACAGTTGCTACTACCTGCTTTGTGTTTTTCATACCACCAAAACCAGACTCCTTGTAGTTCTTGTAACATCTCCTTGTCACTTCTGTGGCTTGGAATACATCATTCCCTGTTTGTGGAATAGAACCTCCCATCCTTTATCTAAAGACTGACGTCCATTCTAAAAGAGGTCCCAGATTCTACCCTGCAGAGTTAATTATTCCTCTCCTTTGTACTTTGCACCTTGCGTACACCAGTGTTGTCATTTTATTATGCCACGAGCATTGCCATTTTATTATAATGCGGTTACTCGTCACACTCTCCTCCTATGAGAGGGTGAGCTCCTTGACATTCTGGGCCTTACCTGGCTGTGAACCCACTGTAGCTAGGCCACCGTGATCAGTTAAGGCGTGGCGAACTAAACTGAAGCTTTCACAGAATTCAGAGAAACCCGCACACCATAGTCCCCAGGGTGTTCAGATTTTAAACAGACAAAGTGAGTCCCTCTCTTACCTTCCTTCCAGCTAGGTAACCTCCGGAGGCTCCAAAGCTTTTGGTGAATGTGCCCATGAGCACATCAACTTCTCCAGGGTCTATTCCGAAGAATTCTGTGACACCCCGGCCGGTTGGGCCCAAGGCCCCAATACTGTGAGCTTCGTCCACGTAGAGGTAAGCCTTGTATTTCTTCTTTAGAGCTATGATCTGGGGGAGATGCACGATGGAACCTTCCATGCTAGGGTAGAAGGAGAAATGCTCATAACTAACAAATATGCTCCTGGGAAGCTCTGTGAGTCTCCCCACCAATACATCCTAGACAGGATGACAGAGACCTGCCTTTCGTTTCTTCTGAAGGTGTGTTTTACTTGGCTGCAACAGCCCTCTCAATCTTGTAAAGCTACTTGCACATTTCTATGCTACTTGAATAAAATAGCTTGCATTCAATGGATTTGAGTGCTTTGGTTCCTTATAGCTAATTCCTAAGTCAAGAGTTAGCTCACTGCATTGTTGATCCAATTTATTCGTAAAGTTACATTCTAGTGGAACTAGAATGACCATTCTGCATTCTAGGTATTCCGCTAGATTTAATGACATTGCTCTTTGGTGATCCACTTTTATCCACCCGCCATTGCCTATTTGGTCAGATCTGTCTGACCGAAACTCAGTGCTTGAATTGCCAAAGATTAAAAGAGGGAATTAAAAACACATAAAAGAACTTTACGACATCATCGTATTAATTAAATCACAATAGAATTTAGGTCCTTAGGGCCTCCTGTTCAGTACTCACTGCAAGTGTAAGATTTATTTGAGGCACTTGGTATGTCCTCTCTTTCTGTTTCTTTAAGGAAATGGAACAGATAGGTGAGAGAGCATCAGAATCCTTTGAAGGGTTTGTTAAAACACAGATTGCTGAACCCCTACTTCAGACCCACTCAGTTTCCGATTCACCAGGTCTGGGGTGGGCTGAGAATGTTCATTTCTAACAAGCTTCCAGGAGATGCTGACTCTCATGGTTGAGGATCACACTTTGAGGATCACTGCCATAGATGGACTCTTTTGTTTTAGCCCTAAGTGTTTTATTTTTCATGGTATTGTAAATTGCAAAAGCACTTCAAGACCCCTGGGAAAGGGAAAAAATATAAAGTCAATAAAGAAGTAAAATTACAATTTATATTTACACAGCACCTCTGAGACTCAATGGATTTAAAAACACTGCCTCTCATCAGTTCTCAGAACACTTTGTAAGCTGTGTCTACATTGCACACAGTTTTGACTGCACTGACAGGCAAGTTCTAGAAAACACGCAGACTCACACACTCACTACACAAAGGAACTTGTCAAACAATTCAAGCAACCCTTCAATTTAGTTCAAGAAATAATCAATTGAACCAAACAGAGAGTTGAACTTCTCCTTTTCTTCTGAATTAGTTTATTTATTAGATTAAATTTAATGTATTAAAAAAAATAAGCTGAAATGTTAGGCCGATTTCATCAAAACAGTCCAGCTGGTTGTGTGCACAGTTACCCAGATTGTGGTTTGGAGAGTGTGGTGATCACTGCCTGGAGCATTTGTATGCTTCGCAAGGTCATTTTGGGTGGCCGAGCTTGGATTTTAATGAAACAAAGACCAAACAGAGTTGTCTTTACTTATGTAAGTTTTTGAGTTAATTCTAATATTTTCTTAAATTAATTGCTTGTTAAAGTTGTTTCCATCAATGGGGAGGCAGTCTGGCCACCTGATTGCCTAAGCTTAGGCCATGATCATACCACTTACTGTGAACTTGGGCAATTAATATGATGTCTTTGCCTCAGTTTCCTCATATGTAAAATAAGCATGATGCTGGGCCCCTTCTTGTAAGGTCTTTATAATGACAACTAGAAATCATGCTTGTAAAGTACCTGACCGTGAATGAGCACTCAGTGACTTGTTAGGAGCTTAGGAGGAAATGGTTGCAATGAGACCTAACTTGAGAAATTGGGAGCCCTTGACAACGCTCTGTGTTACTCTTTTAGGAGTGAGGCATGTGGGTGTCACTGTGTCATATATGATAAATGGCCTCAGGTCCTCAGAATTCTAGATTTTTCTTCTAATCTTTAAAATGTTATGAGTTGGTAACACTAATATGCTAAAAATCTGACAGGCCACAAACAGCCATTCTTTGTTCTGGAACTGAATTTGGCAGGAGCCAAAGTTAATGTTGAACAGTGTTTGTAGACACTGCAGGCAACTAATTAACCATCCTTCGATGGGGCTGGTCTAGCTGATGTTAGGAGCCTGCCCACCTGGTTTATATTTCTTCCTCTAAGATTAATGACTCTACAATACTGCTGATTTCTGGGGTTAATGGAGGGCACACATAGAGTCCTAGGGAGAAAAGAATTATATTCACCCACACTAAGTTTTCATTTTCTCAATGTGATCAAATTTGAGTTGAACCTTTTCCTATGGTGGGATATTGAGTCTGGTACATGCATAAAAAGGCTACCTATGCTACTCCCATGAATTGCTGTCAAAAAACAGTGCCAAAAATGATAAAAGAAAACAAGAGTAGCGTTTTATGCTCTTTTCCTGAATGGAAGGTTGTGTTTTTCTTTTGACTTCAATAGAAGAAAAACAACTAAAATACAACTGTAAAAGATAATTCTACCAGTAAATTTGAAGCTCTGTGCAGAAACTTGAATTATTCCTAAACCACCAAGCCAGTGAATAATTTCTTTATATCTTTTCTATTACATAATGTATTAGCTAAGTGACAAGTCCCTTTTTTGAAATCTCCCTCTCACCACCTTTCTCTACATATAAACCATATTATCCATTGGAAGGACTGAGAATTAAACCACAGGCTAGCTAACTTGCATGGTGGAAAAATCTCCTTGGTGGGCCCCAAGTACAACCCAACACAAGAAAGGAAGGTGGAAAGAGAGAAAAAAGAAGTTAAGATTAATTAAAAATAAAGTACTGTTTTCTTATTCTTTATATATTTAAACCAGGTGTCCTCAAACTACGGCCCATGGGCCACATGCGGGTGTTTTTGCCCATTTGTTTTTTTACTTCAAAATAAGATATATGCAGTATGCATAGGAATTTGTTCATAGTTTTTTTTAAACTATAGTCTGGCCCTCCAACGGTCTGAGAGACAGTGAACTGGCCCCCTGTTTAAAAAGTTTGAGGACCCCTGGTTTAAACCATAGAGATACAGGATATAGTTTACTACTGAAGTTCTCAATCCTTAAACTTAGATTATTTTGGGGGAAGAGAATAGATTACATTCTTAGAGTATATGCCATTCTGAGACTTCAGCATGTGTTCATATATGAATTTGTTTTGAAAGGGCTGAATATTATTTCTTGATTTATTTTATTTTGCAAGTTTGGGCTCAGATAGGCTAGTTTATGTCCCAGCTTATTTGAGACACCCCATCCCCAGTATTTTTAAATATTTTGAGATTTCTCAATCACTCTGAGTTAACAGGAAATCAATACTTCTCAGAGATATGAAACTAGAAAAATGTGACTTTAAAACAATACTTAAAGGAAAATACAGATCAGAAAACATTAAAATAATACTATTGGACTTTTAAACCAAAAATCATGAATTCATGGAAATTTAGATTTCAATTTTCAATTCTCCTATTTTACAGATGAAGAAACGGAGGCCTAGTTAGATTAATGGTGAAGGTCAAATGGGTGACCTTGCATTTTCTGTGTTTACTTCATTGGATATGGACACATGGGCTGACTCTTCTATTTACACTGAGACTTTGTACCACTAGGGCCATCTGGTTTTAATCCCAGCTCTGTTTCATCTCAGTTATCTGTTCTGGGACAAGTTATCTAGGCCTCTGTGTTTATTTATTTTAGCAATAATCTTCGGGGTACTTGCATGCTTATTCAAGATTGCACGTGTGAAATGTTTAGCAAAAAGTAGACACATGGTCAATGTGAGTTTCTTTCTCTAACACCTGCCTTCTGGATGGATGAAGAGCAAACAGCCTTACAACATAGATACCTTATCATTTTCTGAGTTGCGATTTCTTCAACTGAAAATAAATATAGGCTGGGTGTGGTGTCTCATGCCTATAATCCTAGCACTCTGGAGGCCAAGGTGGGAGGATCACTTGAGCTCAGGAGTTGAGACCAGTCTGAACAAGAGCAAGACCCCGTTTCTACTAAAAATAGAAAAAATTAGCCAGGCATGGTGGTGTGTACCTCCTAGCTACTTGGGAGGCTGAGGAAGGAGGATTGCTTAACCCAGGAGTTTGGTGTTGATGTGAGCTATGATGATACCACTGCACTCTAGCCAGATTGGCAGAGCAAGACTCTTTCTCAAAAATAAATAAATAAATAAATAAATAAATAAATAAATAAATAAATAAATAAATAAATAAAATGTAATGATGAAGATTGTTACCCTTGGTTGTGGGCTTTCTACGGGCTAGGCCTCTGCCAAACACTAGCTTATATGATCTCATTTAGTACTTATAAAGGTACCCATGGAGGGCACACAGCTGTAGGTAGTGATATCAGGATTTGAATCCAGGTCCCAGGCCTGCCTCCAAATCCTGACTTCTCTACATTCTCCATAGAAATAATAATCCCTATGATGGTGACATTATTATTATTACTTTTGTGGAGTTTACTGACTTCTCAGTCTTGGTATCTAGCCTTTTCTACCTTGATACTTGCTGATTTGGTTGATTTTCTGATTTGGTTGACTCTTTTGGAGTTACGAGAAAATTGATGTCTGTGGGCTCTGTGGTGGAAGTATTTTTCCCATGGTGGCAGATCACAAGTAAGGGAAAAGTTAAAATTTAAAGGAGGATATCAACAAGGTATGTGTCCCTAACATACCTCTAAAAAGTAGGAGTACATTTATTCAGTATTGATTTCACTTCCCTAACCCTGGCCCTTTGGAAAAGCCTGCGGGAAATAATCTCATCTTCTGGTGACAGTTGCAAATTATGACACTGATACGAAGGCTTTTGCTTTGAGGTTTATGGCTCTAGAACCCCCCTCTAGGCTAGCCTTATTTTACAGATGAGGAAATTAAGGCCCCAAGAGCTACTGACCTGTTGAAGAGGTGCCCTGTCTCCTATCTGTGAACAAGGCTTTTTAGGTCATAGTCTCATTTAAAGATAAGATTCCTGTGTGGGTGAGATAAAAGGAACCCTTCGTAAAGTCAAGTTCATGGAAAGTGGAGACTTGGCTCTGTATCGAAGCCAGGTTGGTTGAGCCGTTGCAGTAGACTGCAGCCAAAGATGGCTCCCTGCAAGTCTTTCCCACCCTGTGCACACAGGCTGATCCTCCAATCAAGAGATAGTGTCTATGAAACCTTCTTTTGAATCTGGGTGGCCTCATGATGTGCTTTGGCCAACAGGGAGAGACAGAAGTGATGCTGCACCAATTCTAGGCCTAGCCCTTAAAACGCTAAGAGTTTCCACTTTTGCTCTGTTGGAAGCCACCACCATGTTGTAAGGAAGTTCTGACCAGACTATCAAATGAGAAGAGATTATATGTAGAGAAGGCCAAGTGGAAGAGAACAAGGGCCCTCATGCAAAAGCCAGCACTAAGAGCCAGATGTGTGAGTGAGGTCACCTTGGATGTTCCAGCCCCAGCCGAACTCTCGGCTGAATGCAGTCCCATCCATGACCTCCACTCAACACCATGTGGATCAGAACTTCACAGATGGTCCAGCTAACCTACAGTAGCACAGGAAATAATAAATAATTGCCATGTATATCATTGTGCTTTGAGGTGGGTTGTTACATGGCAGTAGATAACAGAGCAGTCACTAATGCTAGTACAACCTAAATTGTGGTTTGGAGCCATACTGGCTTGGAGCCCAGAGTCCACAACTGGCTCCCTTGTCCTTCTCTTATGGAGGGATGTGGGCCTGGCACCTCCATTAACAAGTCCTGCTGCTGGAGTGGTTTCTCTGTGTAGGTGATGGGAATATTTGTCAGCACAACACTGGTGGTCCACTTAAATTTCAGCCACGATCAAAGCGTTTAAATCCTAACTTTCCTTTAGTGGAGCCAAGTTCTGTTTATTTGCAGTTGGTTTTTGTTTACTCTGGTTAAAGGAGATGCCCAGTCTTCTCTCCCTCAGCTGATTTATCCTCCCACTAGTCTAGGCCTGAATGACAGGTGTTTAGATAAGGGCCGTTTGCTTCCCTCCCAGGCTGGCAGCTGGCACGAATCACACAAGGAGAAAGATCCATGCTTGATGTTACCACAATCCACAGCCAATATGAGCTCATTTCTTAGAAGTAGCAACTTTAGAGCTAGTGATTATTCTAGAACAGGTTCTCTCAACCTTGGCACTGTTGACATTTTAGGCTAGATAATTCTTTGTTGTGGGAGGGCTGTCCTGTGCATCGCAGGATGTTTATCAGCATCCCTGGCCTCTGCCCACTAGAGGTCAGTCATACCCTACTGCAGTTGTGGCAACTGGAAATTGGCAAATGTGCCTGGATTAGGGGCAGGAGCAAGAGCACCCCAGAGAACCACTGGTCTAGAGTGACCTCATAGACATCATAAACAGGACCTACTCTTTGGGCTGACTGTGGGAGGTACTGTTAGGTGATGCAGAAAGTGGGCTACTGAAACTGGAAATGCCAACTTTGCAACCCTACGGTAGCACTGGGAACACCCAGACCACTGGTTGCTGGGCAGTAAGTACTGGAGTTAAAAAAAAAAAAAAATATATATATATATATATATATATATATAATGATACCAGGCTTATTATTTTAAATTTAGGAGAATTCACTTCTTTTTTCCAAAAGGGATGGAGGCACACTCCTGCTATTGCATGGTATTTATTCATTCATGTAGCAGAAATGGTGTGTACTCCATTTGACCAAATTCATGGGCTGAAAGAAATTCTACATCTCTCTTCAAATCTCTTTTGCAGCTACAGTCCTCCTTCTTGGGAATTTAAACAACCCTTCTCTTGCTTCCTTTTAATGTTTTTCACTTTTCTAGCATTATCTCATAACATATCTCCCTTGATTCCTCTAACATCAGGCTTGTCTGAGAATTGATTTAGGAGTGGGCACTCTGAGATGTTTCTTCGGCTTATGGACTAGGGCATCCAACAGAATAAATACTTGGACACAATTTCCATTTCAGTAATGATAATAAATGAAGACAGAGAATGCAGCATATTCAATTACAACCTTCTATATAAAAGTGCAGCTCTGAATGGTTTGGTGAGTGTGTTTCCTCTGTTCAGCTTAAAGGGAAACTCAGGCCTGAGCACAACTTCAGATGCTAAGATCATTCCACCCCCAGACCCCAGCTCTGGAGAAAGAATTGCACTTGCGGTTAGTCCTAACTTGAAGAAAACAGGCAGGTCTTTTGCATTCTGATGCCAGTAAATGGCTGGGTTCAGCAAGCAGCTGGGTTGGGGTGCACTGTCCAGGTAGGGGTATCTGGGCTTGTCCATCAGCAACATCTATTACAGTCATAAAGACAAGGGGTGTTCTAATGTTGAATAACCCAGTTGCAAAAGGCCTTTGGAATTGTGAGGCAGCCAAAAGTAGTGGAAGAATCAATGCAAGTTAGCAATGCCATGTGAGGACATTTCTGAGGAAGTCTTCACAAGCATGCCAGCTTCCAAGGTGCTCCACCGATTGCATGGAGTCGTTGAAAGTACAGGTGACCCAAGGTCTAACAGCCTTCGTTGGTGGCTCTGTCTCAGGTCTCTCTGTAATATCCATATCTAACTCATTGCTCCATTTAGCTAGGAAAGATCAGCATTCCCCCATTGGTCAGCTTGCTGCAGGCCTCACAGTGTTAAAATGCCTTCCATTACTTACATACCTGTAGATACCCTCCACTAGGATGAGAATTTTTTTCCAAGCTCTGCGGGTTCGAGGCTGGCCATAGATGACAGCATCTCTCAGGAGTTTCTCTAGGCTTTGTGCATCTTTAAATAATATCAAAAAAGAAATTGAGTCATGAAAGGGTTTTTCTTTTCCTCCCCCATTTTCTTTCTCAAGGAGACATCAGATTTGATAGGTTTGCAGACCTAAACCTCCAGACAGCAAAGTCAGAATCAGAGACCACCTAGGGAGAGAGAGGCAGACGTCTATTTTTCAGTAAAACTTAACTATGACAAGATGAATAGTCAGGTTTGTGCAACTAGGCACAGCAAACCCACACCAGGGGTACGTGGTTTCCTAGGGTCTTGCTAACCTCTCCCCTGCTGCCTTAGATTGAAATTCTACAGTAAATGCATCACTTAGGTTAAGCTTTGTTGCCAGGTTAAAATGAACTCTGAGAGGTACAATGAACTACCACTTGTCAATTGTTTAGATGTGAGTGTGTTAGAATTCAGCTGAGTTTGCATAAACCTCACTTTCTACGCTTTGGGACTTGGTTTTTGACATCCTCCAGCCTCAGACATTTCAAAACTTTAAGGCAGTTGGACAGGTAGTGCACTTTTGCAAAATATTTGGAAACCTATGGATACATGAATAATAGCTCATAATTACTGAGCCCTATCTGTGTGCCACCCACCCTTCTAAGCCTGTTCTTTGACATAGCTGATTTAACACTCATAAGAACCCTCTGGAAGAGGTACTAGTGTTATCTCCATTTTATGGTTCAGGAAACCAAGGCATGGAGGGGTTTGGTAAACTACCTGAGGTCTATGATTATAGTTAATAGAGTTAGGCTTTGAACCCACACAGTCTATGCCGTGATCCATGTTTGTTACCACTACCCTTTTCCGCCTCATGTGACAGCCATTGTCTCGTCTTCTCAAACTCCATGGTGATATGGAACAAGGAAGGATGAATGTTTGTCTGAATATTCTTAACGTTTAGTGTCAAATATAAATAATAGTGACATTTCATTTATCTGCAATCAGATGTAGGTGACTGGGCTTGGGCTGAGAGACCATGTAGAAGGAGTTGGTTACCAAGCCAGCTGTTTGGTATGTGTATGTATGTGTGTGTGTTTTATTTTGTTTTTAACTTTTAAAGCCTAAAGAGAGAAAAATGGCAGAGGTTTGTGTGCATGTTTTTTTAGATTCATTATATTTCTATTATATACATATATTTATATATATGTATGCATTTCCTAAGCTTTCCCTTTTATGAGAATCTACAACTGAAATACTTGAGGTCTACAATCCAATATTAATTTAACAATATGGAGATGCTGCTTAAATGCTGGCTTGACTGTTATGTAATGCTCACCAGGCATTAGAAACACCAATTAAAATGTTCACAAAAAAAGAGATCTCTAGCAAAGATAAATCTAAAACCACATAGTTGATGCCAGTTTTGGCCACTGTGGACAAAGCTGTCAGGAAGTGGATATTCATTGGTTATCACTCACTAGTCTAGGCATAAATTAGCTGAAGTTATTGGTCTCAATGGAGGGCCCCTCAACTTTTTATTTTAGTCCCAAATGTGTGGCTGGCTCTGTTTTAGGTCTTCTCCCAAAGCTGGGTGAATGTACTAACAGGTGTAATAACTTTTCTACACTGCAACCCTGCCCATGCTCAATGAGGTCACAAGGTATTTTTTTTGAGATAGAGTTGTGGATGTATTTGTGTGTATGTGTGTGTGTGTGTGTGTGTGTGTTTATTGATCAGTGTATCTGAGCAAATCACATTCAAATAAAGGTGCCTTCATATGAATCAGGATGGGGTACGATAAGTCAGAATTTGGTAGCATAATATCAGAACCTCTTCACTTAGAGGCTCCTCATTAGTGTAGTGTCTCCCAAACTGTCCCTAGCATCCACCTACTAGAGACTGGATCTTGGGTCCTGACATTCAGAAAAAATGTGACATGAATAGAATGCCATGTTCTAGAGATCTCTCTTGGAAATCCAAGCATTAGTGACAATACACTCTTTGATATCCTTTGACATACTTAAGAAAACTTACAGTATACATAATGAAGAAATGAAGGAAATACATAATGAAATAATGAAGAAATGAGGGAATAGTTCTTTTTTCAAAAATATAAAGCCTTAATGTATTAGAAATAGCCCCTTTGTAGTGTGCTATCAATAATATCTGATATGATATGAGAACCATAGCTATAAAAATTATCATTTTTCTTTAATAATTAGCCTGAGACTAACGTTTTAGGTGAGATGTCAGTTTAGATGTGGAATTAATCAATTTCACATGACAATATGGGACCTGCGAAAGAAGAAATGGAAGCGATGAAGATCTTCATTTTATTTCATACCACTTTTGTTTTCTTTTCATCTGCAAAACAAGACTAATGATATCCCTGGACTCAGTATTGTATCTTATTCATAAAATATTCCTGAAAATGTCAAATTTTCAGGGCTTTTTCAGTCTTTGTCCTACTTGATGTGTGGGCAGCATCTGACACAATTCGACACTCACTTATATTTTAAGTTTCTCCCCTTTGGTCTCTGGACACCATTCTTTGGTTTTCCTTATCTCTCTTCTACTATTTCTAATTTTTTTGTGTGGGGGAGCCATTTCTTCTTTTCACCTATTTTCTTTTTGATGTTTGTTCCTTGTCTTTTTCTCTATTTTGCCATTTACCTACCAGTGACCCTCAACCTTCAGTGTGAATAGGAATCGCATCTGGAAAACTAGTTCAAAGGCAGATTCCTGATATTTCTAACCAGAGATTCTGAATCAGTTGGTGTGGGATGGGGCCCAGAAGTTTGCATGTTTGGGATCTTTGAACCCCAAAATCCATAACTCAAAGCCAGATCTCTATTTTGAGCTACTCAATGTTTTTCTAATCAAATCCACGAGTCCCTCAAATACCACATTTCCAAGATGGAACTCGTGGCAGATTATATTATTAGCCTCATTTTTTACCTCCTTCCTTCCCATTTGAGTCCTTTGCTATGTGACTTTGTGGTTTGTCCCACTAAAGAAGTGGAGGACATTTCCCTGGCTCTTGACTTGAGTTCAGCCATGAACATGCTTGGCTAGTAGGACGCAGAGAAGAGATGGCTTTCTAGCTCCAAACCTAGGTCTGAAGAGGTCTTACAACATATTTCTACTCTTTCTCTTGTGCTTCTGCTAGTGACAGGAAAAGAACATGCCCAGGCTACCCGCTGGTCCCAGGATGGCCCCAAGAGAGGATAAAAGGCACGTAGGGCCCAGTTCCCCCAGGCCACCTACAGTCCTGAGTGAGAAATAAGTGCTGACTGTTGCATGCTACTGAGGTTTTGAGGTTGCTTATTCTTTTAATAGTTACCTGATACAACCTCAAATGGCCCTTCTTGATTTAGCTTCTGCCTATCTTTCTGACATAGTTTCTCAGCATTCCCCAACACACAGCTTCCAACTCTCCTACATGCTTTTTCCTCTTGTCTGACTAGAGATCTCCCACTCATCACACAAATCTAAATTCAAACTCTTGTGGTCAATAATTCAGACCAGAGTTCAAGCCTTCCTCCTTGGTGTCCCTCAAGACTCATCATGCTACTCATTATTTGCCTTTCTGTCCCTCCTCCACGAAAGGCAGGGACCTAATCTTCTTCATCCTTCTAGCCCTAGTTCTAGTACACAGCATTAGTGCTAAATCAATATTTGATGATTGAATCAATTTTCTTTTCATGGAGAAAGAATATCATAGACCAAGAAACAGGAAAGGAAATGCCACTTTTAGATATAAATAAGAACGATTAGAGAGGATAATTGCCTCATGTCTGCAATTGTGAGATTAAATTAAAAAATCATATTTTTATCATTTACTGTGTTGTTTTTGTTTTAAAGACAGTTAAGAACTCCACATTAGGCCGGGCGCGGTGGCTCACGCCTGTAATCCTAGCACTCTGAGAGGCCGAGGCGGGCGGATTGCTCGAGGTCAGGAGTTCGAAACCAGCCTGAGCAAGAGTGAGATCCTATCTCTACTATAAATTAAAAAAGAAATTAATTGGCCAACTAATATATATAGAAAAAATTAGCCGGGCATGGTGGCGCATGCCGTAGTCCCAGCTACTCTGGAGGCTGAGGCAGAAGGATTGCTTGAGCCCAGGAGTTTGAGGTTGCTGTGAACTAGGCTGACGCCACCGCACTCACTCTAGCCTGGGCAACAAAGTGAGACTCTGTCTCAAAAAAAAAAAAAAAAAAAAAGAACTCCACATCATTAACCACTAGATGGCAGCCAAGGAAACAAAAAGCAGCTTTCTCATTTTGAAATTTTCAGGGATAATAAACCTTCACATATATATATGGATATCTTGTTTTCACTTTTGCTTTGGGTTGAGTTCACCAAATGTTAAAGCAACATTTGACTTGCTTGTGACTGGGGGAACCAGTCTTTCTTTTCTATAATCATAGTCCTGTTAGCATCTGAATGGAATAAAGAGATGATGAACAAAAGTATTCTTGTTTAAAGAATGCTTTCCCTTCTGGGACTTGGAATTTATAAGTTTTTGCACAGAAATGACACATGATGAGTGTAGCTACAATGCCATAGGACTAAAAACAAACCAAAGTGAACTAGCAGTTATTATAAAAATGAATATTCTAAAATTTGGAAAAATCTGTAAATCCAGAGGCTATGTATTATTTTTGCTTCAGAAAAGATCACATGCGTGCTATAGGGTTAGTCAAGGATTAGTTTCCAAATGAACACCACTAGTCCTAAAGAAAAGTTTCTCTCCATTCTTTTAATACCAAGCAGGACATGAAATCAAGCCTTTAGGTGGCCGTGATGTGTTTTATGTATTTTATGCGTTTTGCAGATGGGAGCAAGAGGAATCCCAGTCTCTTCCAAGGCAGGGACCTCACCGGTGTTTGACCTGAGTGGAGAGTTCTAGGGGGAGAGGTGTTGTGTGGAGTTCACAACCCCAAGGTCCATACACTGCAATCCTTGAACAGAGGGAAAATCAATTAGCCCTTTTACCCTTGCAAAGGAAGAATTCACTGACTTCTTAGAATCCCAGAAACGAGACAGGGAAGGGGAT